ACATACACTTACACACACACACACACTTTTGCACACACACACACACACTTTTGCACACACACACACAAACACACACGCACACACACACACACTTTTGCACACACACACACACACACTTTTGCACACACACACACACTTTTGCGCACACACACACACACTTTTGCACACACACACACACACACTTTTGCACACACACACACACACACACTTGCACGCACGCACGCGCGCACACACACACACACCGACCGACCGCGACTGCGCGCGAGCTCCTTCCCCCACAGCCACCCAACCCCTACGCTTTCGCACACGTTTACTCGCGCACGTGCGCACACTAATTTAGGGTGTAAATAGGGCACACATGCAGACACGAATACAAACGTATATTGTTATATTGGTGCAACTGTCAGTGCACGTACATACGTGTGTAGTGTAACAACCTTGCAAGCACAAATCGCACAGAAGGCCGGCTGGGGAGCAGGCTGCGCAAAAAGTCGGATATGCCTCCCCGGATAGAGCCTTAGTTGAGGTGCTTTCAGGAACCGCAGCAGCGGGTTGAGGATGTTTGGTTTCGTCTGTCAGGGCTGGGAATGTCGGCTGCAGCGGCTGCTGCTCGAGTCTGTTATCAACTGTTCGGAACATTTGATGAATTTTGCTGATGCATACGCTGTCTACTGGTGAATCTCAACGCGTGCTGTGATCAACACTGAAACGACTATCCACTCACTCTTTGCTCGAGGGCGTCTGAAGCTTTGCCTGCTCCCCGTATTACGCCGTATTGATCATCTGCACAAACATGTCCGACAGCCGAAGTATCAGTGAGGCGTCGGCGTGTGATGTTCAGCCCACCATCGGTCCAGGCCCTGCGCACAGAGCGAGCATAAAACGCTCGCTTTCCAAAGTAGCGTGTATCCGCCTGTGCGCGCGTGTGCGCCAACGATGCGTACATGGGTCGAAACAAAGGACAGGACACGAGTATAAGAGCTGAAAAGTACGAGGCAAGCGCACTTGGAATACCTACTGTTGACCGAGAACTAGAATTCAGCTAGGATGATAGCAAATGACTGACTGGATGTTGGTCAATGATATGCACCCGGATAAGATCAGTATCGCATGATATGAATCTGGCAGCCCTGAAAGCCCTGAATCCGTTAAACTCCCTTACTTCCACCCTCTAAGACCCCAAAACCCCCTAAAGCCCTCTACTGGTAGTATCAGAACTGTTAGAAACCCCCTAAAAAGCCCTAAGGCCACGACAACCCTAAACCCAAACCGGCCGCGCTGGCCCGGGCCCGACACCTCGAAGGAGCGCCGCATCACCTCCCGGCTTTGGGGAAACTGTAAGTTTCTGTTTGTTGAACCCTCTTTTCTCCCAAACAAACCTACCTTCTGTAGGGTTTCTAGGGTTTAGGGTTTATGGGGTATGAGGGCTTAGGGTTTTGGGGGTATTAGGGCTTTGGGTTTAGAGGTTTAGGGTTGTGTGGGTGTAAAGGGTTTGTCGGGAGGGGTTCTAGTGGTTTTAGTGGGTCTTCGGGTCTTCCTTTGAAGAGCGTTTTGAACTTTAGAGCTTTACGGGTTTACGTTTGAGGGTTTAGGGTACTCATAGGAGTTTAGGGGTGAGGGTGTAGGCGTTTGAGGTTTTGGTACTCAGTATGCTTCCGGGTACTTTAAATTGAATGTGCTTGCAATAATGGTCTTCTGACTTTGGCTCTATATTGGGGTCCTTTAACTGTCACTTCCTGCAGTGTAGTCGGGGTGCTTTGGCTTTTTCGGGGCCTTTAGGGTGCTTGGGGCTTTTCGGGCCTAAACGTCCCTGCAGCAAAGCTGAGTGGTGTTGACAAAGAACAGGTTTGTTTTGCAGGGCAGGAGTTTGGATCTCGAAAGTTTGTTCTCAGTTACTGTAGCGTCCATTGATTCTAGATAGGCGCTTGAGGTTTTTGAGGCTTAGGCACCATGCTGAATTGATCACCAAACCCGATATCCCAAAAGACCAAAATCTGCATGGGCTGTCTAGATTGGGCTCTCGGTTTCCATGGTTTTGCAGGGTTTGCCAGAACAGGCCGACAGCCATGACAGCATCAGGCCTCTGCACGCCGCTGCTCTTCCGAGCGCAGCTGCGCGGCGACCTTCAATTTTGGTTGTCGGGCTCAGGAGTTCATGACCTCACAAAGGTGTTTTGGCATGCCGCCATGTGCAGCTCCGCTTGTACACTCCTGCAAAGATGAAAGGCTCCTCCAGTCGCAGGCACCGGCAACTGCGGCCCCCTCAGCCTAGATCCACCCGAGAGACTGTGAGCCAAGGCTGCAACGGCCATCTCGGGCAGCACGGAGGACGCTGCGCCATGTGGCCGAAGCCTGGACATGATGGCGTTAAAGTTTCAAGGCTCCAGGTTTGATTGAGCCTTTTCACTGCAAAGTCGGCCATGACGGACATAAATCTCGAAACTCAAAATACCACGGCCCTTACCGAAACCTCTCTGACTGTATTGCAGCTCCATGAGACACGTAGCACAACAAAAGATTCCACTTGCTACCGAACTTCTCTGCACCCACTTTTGTGGTGGTGATCTCTATTGCTGCTGTTGGCATCATCACTGCTATAAGTATTGAAGCTCCTTTCTGGCAGCACGGATAGACGTAGGTATCTGTACATGATCATCATCATCATCATCATCATCATTATCATCGTCAGCAGCAGCATCATCATCTTCACCAGCAGCATCATTAATCATTATCGACACCAAGGTTCATCACCATGGTGACATTCGGCATCTCCTCTGTCCTCAGCAACTCCCTCGCCACCACTACTATCTGGGTCGTCCTCGCCGGCATCAGCATAATTGCCGTTCACAGGTATCTGCCTTGCCATCATTCTCGCTGCTGTTGGATCCTAATGTCTTAACCCATGTGTTCTTTTTCTACGAACATGAGCCCTTTCCCTGCTCTAGGACAGGAACTCCAACTCTGCATGGAGAACTCCCACAGATAGCTGGTGGCGACGTCCCACGCCCTGAGCAAAGAGGGCTGCCCTTGCTTTGGCGCTTTGAGAAGCTTTGGTCTAGTTGTCAAGTTGCTGCTTCGGGGCTCGGAATCTGAAACTGGTGCCCTGTAGATGTAACAAATTCCAGAAACTCACCTGTGCATCTCCTCTCCCGCTCCCAGACCTTGTTGACACAGGTGTGCATGCTTTTGCGGCCGGCAACAGACCAGAAGCTTCACATGATCCGACGCTTGAGGAGTGGCGAGCCAGCGGTGAGAGGGAGGGTTCGGGGGACTGGCGGTTGCCTGAGAGCTGTATACCCCACATATGCAGGAGCAGCTGTAGCTCGCCAGCCTTTGGGGGACCGAACACTCAGCAACAAGCTACCTTTGCGCTTGAATTCCAGTGTTTTGAGACCTCCTCTACACCAAAACATCAAGAACAAAACCGCAAGTTCACCTGCGCTTCCAGCTGTCCGCACCTGCAGTTCCACTGTCATCTTCTGGGGGCCACTGGTGGTCAAGCAGTTCCTCCTTTGCAGCGAGGGGTGCTGCCATGCATCAATCGCAGGATTCTTCACGTGCAAGGCGGAGAGAGTTAGCGGTTTCCCTTCTCTCAAACAGGCAGGACGACTCTGCATCGGGTCTCCTGATTGCTTCCGCGGAAAAAACCCTATTCTAATTATTAAGGCCTCTACGTTAAGCAACACGGTTCACTGAGGCTCGGAACCATTCGAGGCGATGACTCGAGACCAGGGTTCCTTCGCAAGTCAGGGCGCATATGGACGTGTGCCGAAAGCAAGCAAAGTTTTGGAGTATGTGAGAGTAACCTTTTTAGTAGTTATAGGAATACTTTGGTAGTATGACCGTCTGCGCCGTGGGCCGATGATTGTAACGGTGGGGCACTCAATTTGTGTTGTGAGTTCCAGTTCTGCCCGTGGCTGAAGTGGTTGTACCTCGGCAAACTGGTCATGTCATGGCACTGCCCAGTGGTCATGTGGAGAATAGAGCTCGCTGTCGGTGGTCCCAACTCGGAGGCGTGAAAGCAGGTCTTTTGCGGCAAGGTGAGTGCCCAGGTCGATGACCCCATGAGCTTGAAGCGGCGTGCTTTCGGCGCCGCCCCACTGCAGAGCCGAGTCGCCGAAAACATGCCCTCCCATTGCTTCAGAATGCCGAAGATTGGCGAGAACATGTGAGAAGTGCATCCTAATTTTCTGGGTGTGGTGCCTGCGCCCCAGTCCCAAGGCGGATCTTCACCACTTCCGCCTAGGAGAAGCGAGAGCTCTCGTGCAGAAGTCCACGCGTCTGTTGAGAAAAGACAAGCTTTGGGTTGTCCTTTCGCAGTCTGACCTTTCAGACACTTTCGGAAGCTGTTACAATAGTACTGGAGTCTTCGCGGGTGTGCACTTGCCGGGTGGTCCCAGTCCAAGCCGACACCGATGCAACGGATTTCCCGTCATCGGTAGCAAGAACTGGGTGGTCTTTGAGTAAGTAACTGATGCAAAACCAAGGTCTGTCAAGCGGAGAGAGAGCGCTGCAACTTCAGCAGCTGGGGGTCAAACTCCCACCACGGCACACCAAGACCAAGTGCACCTGCCAAGGCGGAAATAGCTTCTCTCAGCGAACAAACAACCTTTTCCTTGGCATGCCAGGGCAACTCTTCCGTTCCTATTGCTTTCCAGGAAAGTTGAACATTCGCAGATGCTTCTCGGCAGTGTGCACACCAGTACCCAATCACAAGCTTGTGGGCTGACCGGAGCGGCATGCAGCAGCAAGCCTCGATCAGAGCATAGCCACACACAAACTGACATCTCGTGGGAATGACAACTTAGTGGGAGGCCTGGGCTCCCCACCCAAGTCCCAAAATTAATCTCAACAGCATCGCAACGCGAGGAGAACCGCTCGCAAACAGGAGGCAGCTAGTCTGCAGCCGAACCCGAATTCAAGGTGGAAGAAACCCTGGCCAAATCCAAAGCCCTTGGGATCGATGCATTCGCATCCAAGTGTCCATTCCGTGAGGCCGCATCTGGTAGCTTCAGAAACAGAGCCTGGCAACGAATGTGGAGGATTCACGCCGTTTACGCACGGCGCCAACACCGAGTGCCAGAGTTCGGGGTTCGGCGCTCCCAGATGCACCCTCAGAATTACTCGGGCTCTTTGGCCAACTCGGCCAGCGAGTCTCCGAAGAGCCCAGGCTGAACTCTGTGCAAACGAATATGATTGCCAATATTAATAATGCTATACCACATAGTATTAGCAATAATATTAGTATTAGTACTAATATTAACGGCTTAGCGCGATTCAACCCTGGAAATCCCAAGCATGCAGGAGTGTTTTGACCCTAAACTACGGCAGCTTCCTTTCTGTTAGTCAGCTGATGCAGTGCACAGCTTCACTGCATGGGTCCGCAGGTCTGCACTTTTCATCAGTGCTTAATGCCCGGCAAGCTGAAGATTCACTTTTGATTTTGAGTTTTTGTAGAGTCGGGAGAAACTGTCCTGCACTTGCTCTGCAAGGCGTTTGGTAACACCTTGGGGACCTGGGGCCTGGTATCCCCTGAAACGCCTCACCCACGCAATGTGTAGGGTTTGAGGGGGTCCTTATCAGCCTCTCCTACTGCATGGGGGGGGGTTGCCCAGTTCAACTCAGTGACTCAGCAATGTCTACGCGGTTTGCGCGGCGGGTCTTCAAAAAGCACGGGACGCCCCAGAAAGCAGCGCGCTAGCATGCACTAAACGCACAAAGTCAAGTAGATGTCAAGGGACTGGGGAGGTGGGCGCCTTGCTGGTTGAGTTGGAAACACGCCGGAAAGTGTCATATACGTACTCCGTCGGGGGGGCCTAGGAGGGATGGGGCAGTATCATCGTCGTCATGATGATGATGATGATGATGAGGGTGATGAGGGTCATGATGATGGTTGTGATAATAATGATAACCATGATGAAAAACGTGATGATTGGGGTGGAAACCAAACCTGTTAATTAATTGCCACGCGAAGAAGATCCAGTCGTGGACACGATAACTCCTTGTCAGGACCGTGTAAAGAGCACCTCGTCCCAACGCAGGGATACTCCGGCAGGAACCTCGGTGACGCATTTCGCATCTACAGCACCATCTCTGGCCGCCGGATTGGATGAGTGGGGTGTGAGGATGCTCCGAATTGTGGGATTGCTCTGCTATGTCCTGCTGTGGACAGGTAAGGTTAGGAGTTAGGGGTCGAACTGAACAAAGAGATGGAGACAGACCACACAGCACTGCTGCTAGTTGGCAAAGCAAACCTCGTGGGTGTGGTCCACGGATTACGGGGGCAGGGTTGGGGTTGGAGTCCAGGGTTCAAGGAGAACGCCTCTCATGCGTGAGTTTGACGAGTTGGCAGCTGAACCACTCGTCGAGCGAAACCCACATTCACATGAAGCCGGGGAGATGACTGGAACACTTCAAAGCAGCGGTGCCGCATGCAGACTTTTCATGGATTCTGTGCAGACTGCAAACGAACCAGCTTGCATGTCCCCTAGCCAAGATGCTGGTTCCGCCACAAACGTTTCACAGAGCCCAATCAAATGAGTCGAAAAGTCAGAGCTTACCTGTACTCTCCCTGAACCCTCAACCTCAGAAAACCTGGAAGCTCCAAACCTTCAGCTTTTAAAACCGTCCGAGAAGCTCGGGAGCCTTGCACAAGGCCCTGCAGCCCGAGCAAACTCGAATCTCCACTCTGGGCCACCACACCGCTCGACTGCGCAGCCGCGTGGCGCCGAAGGACACTTGCCACAACAGCTCCCGGCCTGGCAGGTTGGGGTTTCGGCCGTCTTGCGACGAGTATGACAAGTCTCACCTGGGTTCGTGCAGTGGTACTTTTGTTGCCACCGTGCTTGAGGTTCAGTCTCTGGTGGGCAGTGATAGTGGCGGCTATGATGGTGGTGTTGGTGGCTCTGGCGGTGGTCGTCGGTCTTCTAAGTCTAGTCAAGGTCCTATAGTCTTCATCATCCTGTTGTCACTGTTGTTGCTGCGTATACCGTTGTGCCTACCATTCGCCACTTTCTGTGCCCGATGATGTTCGAATGCTGTTTTGTCTTATCATTGTTGCCACTATGCTTGTTTTACTATTGCTATAGCCACTTAGACTGAGATCCTGCACGCACCACTTTTGGAGTTGCACTCCCTTTCATGCAATCCTACATCGACAGCAGCCCATTCAGCTTACGAGTAGCTGCACTGACATGAGCTGAGCCCACTTCTCACTGCCTGGCACTATGCTGCTAAACCTGCAGTCTGTGCGACTTGCATTCGGTGCAAAGATGCCTGCCGCATCTGCGTCATCCAAGTAGTCCAAAAAGGCTTGGCCTGACATCTTTGTTGGGCCTTTCGGGACTTCTTGGTGCAGGGAACTTTCGAAAGGCTCTGGGCTCCCTTAGAGTCTTAGAGAGTGAGTCCGGTGTAAAGAATCTGGACATGCTGCATGATTAGTTTCATTCAATGGCGACAAGAAACATATGGCGAAAGTGAAGGGAAAAGTGCGGTGCCCCAAAGCCACCAGAAGCTAATCAACAAAATGTGCAACAGTCCTTCCAGTAGCCGCAGGCAGAGCTGCCAGGAGCCAGGCCTGAAAGCTGCGTCCGTGTAACCGGACAATTGGAGATGCAGAAAACCCGAAGGCGCGACGTGCATCTGCATTAATAACTAATCTTGATAATCTTGACGTTGGTGGGCGTAGAGTTCGACAGCAACTCAACAGTTCCAACCACTGTGTACGCCTTCGGGCGCCACCAGGCACTGTTGGAGGCAGAGCTCCCGCAGAAGGATGGAAAAGATGCCGTTGCTGGAGCTACTCTGGCGCGTGCATCCGTTTTTGACGATGTCTGCTATACTTATATCGCTTTACAGGGCTCAGGAACCCCCGAGCAGTCTCTACATAGCAGGAGAGGCCCGTCACTTGAGCCTGTACATTGTGACAGTCTGGGCTCATCAGAAGCAAAAGCACTGTTATGACAACTGTACATCAGATGTTGAACATCTCAAGCAATCTACTAGGCATCTGCGCTGTTGGCAGGGGTTGACTTGACCTAGGCACCCGCAATCACCGATTGCCGTGCCATTGCAGTCTCCAGGATCACATCGGTAGCTCGTGCGACTCCCCCCGCCGACTTCATGCGGTCGCTGAGGCCTCGGGCCGCCTGTCGGAAAGGGTTGCCAGGTGCGGCGTCCACCAACTGTCGGATGGAAGAGCGCAAGGCGGTGCTGCTGAGGGTCTTCAAGGGCCGAACAAAAGCGACGCCGGCTCCTGCCTCAGCGACGGACTGGCTGTTGGGGACCTGGTCTCCGAAGAGTGGCACGCCGACCAGGGGGATGCCAAATCGAAGTGCCTCGTGCATGCTGTTGGCACCGCAGTGCGACAGGAAAGCGTGGCACTTGGGGAGAAGCTCGATCTGCGGCACAGTCTCACGAACAACGAAGTTCGAAGGTGGGGCAGGCAGGCCCTCCAGCACGTCGGGCTGACAGCCAACCACCAGAACAACCAAGAGGTCCTCCTCCTCTCTCAGGGCTTCGAAGGCCGTGCGGAAGACGTGCTGGATCATCTCCTTGCCGGTGCAGTTCTCCAGACCGTTGTTGAGCGCCTGTGCTCCGAACTTTTCATCCCAGAAGTGGGAGTTCGCAACGGTGCCCAGGGAGATCAGAACAAGGCGCTTCGACGCAGCGAGAGCGCTGTCAATGACATCCCAGGGAAAGCCGCTGGACGGCTTTGGCTCCGCATTGCAAGCTAACGGATGGGAAACTCGCTTCACCTGCTTTAGTCTTGTCACGAGCAAGACAACCACAGTCACAGACAAGCGGGTGGATAGAGAGACAGACGAATACACCTCTTCATACATACATACATACGCACATACACAAAGACATACATGCGTTCATTCATTCATGCATGCATCCGTCCATCCGTACATACATACGTTCATACATACGTTCATACTGTTCGTTTGTATAGCTACCTCGTGTTTGGCTCTTCTTGGCCCCAACTTTGGTCGGAGGGTCTTCGTGTTCAAGTCACAGTGACTACGAAATCTCCCAGCCACCAGGGCCTCAAACCTGAAATTTTGGCCCTTTGCCACCTTGGTGTCCAGAAGGGGGCCGACGCATGTGAAGGGAAAATTCCCAAATCGCTCGCGCTGCATTCCCGCTGCTGGCGGCACGAAGAGCCCGTCGATGGTGGTGACGATGCTTCGCTGCGGGGAGTAGAACCTGGCTAGAGTTTATACTCAAGGTGGGCTTCCCATCGATTGAAGCCCCTTTCTCCCTTTTCTTCTTGCACTGGCACCACTTTGAATGCCAAGAAGCTCCATCAAACCGCCGAAGCGAAAGACGTCCACGCCGTACATCTCCTGGATCTCCCTCCGTGCACGGCGAACAACCTGGGGGCAACACCAACTCAGGCCCACGGAATTTGCGAAAGGGTTGCGAACCTTCCAACAACTCAAACCCAGCCCTGCTGGGTGTGAGAAACTCTCCTTCATTGGCTTCTTCCGATGTAGAAAATTCTACGTAATAACTACTTGAGTAATTTATAGGCAGCATCACGCACAGTCCTTTATCGTGGCAGGCATTCCGCGTCAGGACCGGAAATCTTGTCACCACCATCGACTCCTCATCTCGATCTTTATGTTCTAACCCCCATCGTATCCTACAGTAGGAGTGTAAACTTCCTCCCAGGAAGCCCACCTCATTGGACTCCCACTTCGCAGTCACCTCCGCCGGTCTGGCGATGACTCCCGGGCCAGGCATAGTCAGCCTCGCAGATGTAAAAAACCCTGGGTTTCTGAAGGTTTTTGACAGTTTGGACGGAGGCGAGGCCCGGCTCTCCTCCGTCAGTTTGAAAGTGTCCCTGTGCACGAGGAGTGGTTTCGACAGGATTAGATCGGGTTCGGAACAGAGTTGGTCCTTAGAGCCTTGGAGCCTAAAGCGGCAAAGGGGCGTGCTCACAGCAGGAACGCCCAGGACGTGCGCTGCCACCTGCGGAGATCGAAGGGTTCTTTGGGACTTCGTTTCGGTTCTTCGCGCGTGGCTGTGCCGGAAAGGGAATCAAAGAGATGAATAAGGTCCGCCCAAATGTTCGAACTCTTCGTCCAAACCTCAGAAAACCCACGAGTCCGGCCAGGGCTTGGGGCAAGAAGGGGTCGTGCACGATCGCCGTGACCGGCGGGCTGAGGCTTTTCCTCATTGGGAGACACTGGCCCGCGATCCCAAAGGCATCTCATCCCGCAAACTCTGGAAAACGCCCCCTGACCCCAAAAGCCCCTCCGTCAATCCACAAAGAAACTTAGGCAGTCACCCCAAACCTAAAGCTCCATAGCCAGGCTACAGCTCGGAGATCAGCCTGGGGAGCTGCGAGGCAGCCACGGGCATTGCGATGATGGGGAACCTGGGTCTCTGGGGCTTGCCGGGTTTTCTTGGGGCGTGACACAGGTTGAGGGTCTGCAGTTGTAGAAGGGTTTGTAGGATATTATGGGGTTCAGGTTCGGGGTTTACTGTCTCGGAAACTATGAAACATACAGGCGTAATTATGCCGTCTACTTGGTCAGTGTGGCCCGCGCAGCAGGTAGCATACTACAGCAGTCCTCCTGGGCGAATCGGTCGTAGCTTTTTGTATTGCGTGTCTGGCTTGATTCCAGTTAAGGGCCTCGGATGGTCTCCGGTCGGCGACAAGGGCAAGGCCAAGGAGCTCGTAGTCCTCCGGCGGCATCCCTTCCGGCACGTACTTCGCCTTCTGCTCTTCGTTGAGGACTTTGAACTCCTCGCAGCATAAAGGCTCGAAAGGCTTCGAAGAGGGCCTCCACATGGGAATGTCGGAAGCAAATAAGTGGGATTGCTAGAGGGAGTATTGCGGAGAAGGGGGCCATCCAAACGGCCTCTGCCGAGAACTTCACTCCGAGACTGTCCTCCATGAGTTGCCAGGTAGCTCCTGCGGCCTCGACCACCTTCCAGAAGTATCCACTCGATCACGGTCTTGGGTTTTGGGTCTACTAAACCCTAAACCCTAGGGCCCTAGGGTGCTTAAGATCGCTCAAAGCTCGCACCAAATTCGCTCGGTGGCCTGACGCATCTGCGGGGGGACAAAGTAGGTCACGGCCACGCCTCGCGAGCCTCCAGGAAACTGGTACTGTCACGAGAAATCAGCAGGAGCGGCAGCATACCAAGTATGCTCATATAGTACTACTGCTATCAGTCTTGTCCGTTTCTTTGTATCGGCCTCAACTACGAAGTGGCAGCTTTGGTGAAAGGTGACGACAAGTCCCGGATCACTAACTCAGCCGTGGGGCGCAGTTCAGCCACCACCGGCAGGGTCGGGTTCATGTGCCCGGCAGATGGAATGTTGACGAACACGATGTGCTGCACCATGACGGATGAACCTTTGATCTCGCGAACATGCTGAGCTGGGTTTGCAGATGTCGCGACCTGCAGTTTGCGTGAGAATCCGCAATAGAACAATCACCCCAGCAAACGATACGATCTCATTCATGCATCTTTCCACAAGGCTATGACCACAGGAAATAGCCCTCCTGAACATGATGAGAAATCGAAATTCAAGCTCAGGCAGCAGAACATCCTTTTTTTCTCTGATTAGAGCCTTGACATGCTTCCGGAACCCTTCCAGTCACCTCAGGCTTTAGGTCGGTGGTTGGTCTAGGCTTGTTCCTCAGCAGGTGGAAGGTGCTTCCCTTCATACCTGGATATACCTGGGCTTGACTGCGTTCCTTGCCAAGTCAAGAGGCGTATCCTTCTGCGATCGGACGTAATGAGATGACTGGAGAGCTGAAATGGCTTCGGTAGCGCCCGCAGGGTTCCAAAAGGATTTCTTTCCCAAGGCCGCAGCGAAACGTCTCCAGGTCCCTCCGTAAGAGCCGAGCTGAACAGCAGCATCGGTGCTGCCAGAGTTGTCTCTGCCCAACACCTTCCACTATGGAACCGCGTGACCCATAAAATGCCGTGACGTCTTTTCAATCGAGTATCGATACGATTGTACCTGGAGCAATGTCTGCACGACGATCCCTGGACCTTCTGCTCGACCTGCCTCCGGAGGAGGCACTGGCTGCAGTATCTTGCTGGGCACCTGCGGGTTGCTGATGTCGCGCTCTACTTCCCTATTGGCACACACACACACACTGACTGACTGTGTAGAGATGCAGGCGCCGCTTTCTGACATCATGTTGCGCCCTCCAAATCCGATTGATCGACTTGATGCACCTCGGGCTTCAGCAGGCCTCGCGGCTGGAGGCTCGAAGCTTGAAGTTTCAGGACCCGATCGGGCAATAGAATTCAGAGCAAGTCACCATGGAATCGTGTTGGAATTGTACTTCTGTGAAGGATCTTAGAGGCGACTGCAGCTATGACACGTCTTGGGCCTAGGCCATGGTGACATGTCTTTCACGCCACTTCGCACAGGCCCAACTCCAAAATCAACACGAGCACTGTCTCGGAGAGCGGCTAGTCTCGAGTTCAGCGTAGATGTCCTCTATCACTCCGCGCTCCTGTGCTGAACACATTACGAAAAATTGGTTAAAGGAGAGGATGAAAGGACAATGCGGGCTGGAGTTCATGAAATCCTTGACTGTCGACTTTTGAAATGTAGGATCCTTCAGTTGGCAAATTTCAGCATCTTGCACATGAGTCACTCATGCATGCTATCGTCTTGAAAAGCGATATGTCCGGAGTTTGTGCGGGACTCGTCCCAGGCTCAGCTAGCTGCCATCTAGCTCCTTCTAGTGAAGTTCCACCTCGCTACACTAACACGGAAATTGTCGGCCGGCCGTCCGTGACCTTCTCCCGAAGTAAGACACGCTCTGTCCACGGCACTTGGTGAGATCCTCATCCTGGTCCGAAGCTCGATAACATGAAAGATGCCGGTGAGATGCCCAGTATCACTGCCGTTGCACACCAAAAAAACTGCCCGTATAACACCCGAAACCCTAAACCCCAAACCCAAAGCCTCTCAACCCAAAGCCTCTAAAGCCTCCAAGCCTGGGCTTGACCTCAGGAGCTCCTCGAGGTAGCGCTGTAAGGCCGCTGGGTCTTCCTGAAGCTCCGGCCTTCGCTTCGGCGGCTCGTGGTCTGAGGCCCAGAAGCCTAGAAATGCTATGCTAGACCATGTTTACTGTACACTACCATATCATTAAAGGCTATACCGTACTATACTATATTGTAGTAGGCGATACAATATTATATCATACTATAGCATACGACTAGTCTTCGTTTAGGGCTTTCATGCCGAGAATGCAGGGTTTTGCCGCTCTATCCCCCCACAACGAGTTAAAAACACGCAAACTTCGGCACGGGCGAGCACCGTTGTTTTCCCTTGACCAAGACAGAGAGCTGATTCATCCGTGTAAACACAGACAGCTCGAAGACAGAATTGTGTGTGTGTGTGCTTGTATGTATATTGCGGCATGCAAGCGTGCAAATAAGTGCGCATGTAAATATGTACGTGCATACGTACGTATGTATGTAACTGCAAGTATGTAGCTGTATATATGTATGCATGTATGTATGTATGCATGTATGTATGCATGTATGCATTTGTGTATGTATGTATGTATGTATGTATGTATGTATGTATGTACGTATGTATGTGTGTATGTATGTATGTATGTATGTATGTATGTATGTCGTATGGATGTATGGATGTATGTATGTATGTAACTGTCTGTAACTGTATGTGTGTATATGTATATATGCATGCATATACACTGAAACATGCACTGTAACCAATCAGACGGGACAGTCCGATGCCCTCGACAATCATAATAATTAGAGTAGTAATGCTATTGATGGTGGTAGTCAAAGCGGCAGTGGCAGTAGTAGTTCGTGGTTGTTAACAGTCTAAGCACGATCATGATTTCCGCAAGTGGCATTTGCAGCAGTGGCAGTAGTACTCGTCGTCGTGGTAGTGGCAGGAGTGGAACTAGCAGTAGCAGCAGCAGCAGCAGCAGTAGTAGTAGCAGCAGGAGTAGTAGTAGTAGTAGTAGTAGTAGTAGCAGGTGCAGTAGCAGTAGCAGTAGCAGCAGCAGCAGCAGTAGAAGTAGCGGTGGCAGTGGTAGTGGTGGTGGTGGTAGTAGTAGTAGTAGTTGTTGTTGTAGAAGTTGTGACAGTAGTAGCAGTAGTCGTCGTCGTCATTATGTGTTTGGTGACGCGACCAGCAGGATGCCCTCGAGAGGTCCTACTGGCCGCCGTGAGAGCCCCTCAGGTCTCGCACGCAGCCCATTCCTCAGCCACGCTTTCGGCGAGGGTGAGGGCACGAACTTCCCATCTGGCAGCCTCCTCGCGCTCTCTGAGGCAGCGCTGCCGGAGTGATCCAGTGGCACGCCGCCGGGCCAGTCTGCCAGCAGCCTCGTCGGCTCGTTCGTTGATGAATCGAAGCCTCTGCAGCGGAACGAAAGCACTGCCTTGCCACCCCTCGGGAGTAGGCTTGCCATGACTGGGCACCCAGAGTATGTCGACCTCGATGTCCAGCGCCCGCAGTTGCACCCTCAGCTGCTG